TCTCCTCAGCTGTAGCAGAGGATGAGTCGTCAGGTTACGCTCCATGGGATTTAAGAGGGTATATTTCTTGTCATAAAACATGGTATCTTTTCAGCCTCTACCACCATATCAAAGTTGTTGAGGTTGGCCAACCACTTCTACAAGGGGAAGAAAGACAGAAGCAAACTTATACACAGGACAACACCTTAGGAAGTGAGGCTAAAATTCCAGAAACCTTAGAAAAGTGGAACTAAATATTCCATATTATTGGTTAGGTCCTTAGACAAGGTCGTTCTCTGAATTCTTCTTCTCTCTGAAAGAATTGGCACTTATGGACTCTCCTTGCTCAATGGATATCCAAGAACAGATGTCAGATTAGCTATTAGCAAGCAGTAATTGCGTTTTGGGTTTTGGTTTGTTTTGTGTTTTTTTTTTTATTTTAGCAAAGGAATTCATTGTCTGTTGAATGATAATAATAAAAGCAAACTTCCTTCTGTAGTAGGTATGTCATGACTGGGAGTAGCTTTGACAAGAATGTGTTGATACATTGCTAAAGCTTGCAAGGAAAGGCAGGCATCCAGAGCAAACGCAGGATGAAATTTGTGTTTCTGAATCCTTGCTGCTCATGCAGCACGGCATTAGGAGAAACATGCCCTAGCTGGGAAGGAGAAACATTGTGGGAAAGTCTTGAGACAAGCACAATTTTCTGAATATTGAGCTGAACTTCCCAGTTCCCAGTTTGACACCCAGCTGCCCTCCATGCAGGGGGAGGAAGGCAAGCACTTCTGAAAATGCAGCTGCTTTGAGCACTTAAATGGGAGCTCCTCTAACTTGGACAGCTGGATTATCATGTATACCTTTATGTTTAAAATTAGTGGTTGGGAAAGAATTAAGAGGAAAAGAAAAGAGAGATTAGTTCAGATAAATAAAATATAGAGCAAGCTGCTTCCCGGACAGTTCAGACTCTCTGCAGGGAATTGCCTCACCGTGAAGGATGTCTCCCAGCTTCCTTCCCACTCATCTTCCTTTTGAGATAGTTTCCCTCCCCCTGTGCAAGGATGTCTTTGTAGCTCCTGCCATCTACAATATCCTCCTTCTGTGTATTGCTTAAATGGCCTTTTTGCCTTATGACTTAACACCTACTTTTATTCATTGTGAAATGATTTTATATGCTTTTTAGTAAACGTGACAGGCAGTGTATTACTCACTGTCGTCTTTTATTTACTCCCATAAAGCATTATGGAATACAGTTAGTATGTGACATTCAGGACACTCTATAATACTGCATTGTATTGCATTGCAACGTGGGACAGTTCAGTGCCTTGAAAGAGGCACTGCCTTTTCCTTTGCCTCCATCTTTTCTCAAGTGTTTTTTTTCCTGACTTTCCCCATGGCCAGTGTCTGGTTTCCATGAGTTCCCCCAGTGTATCTGATGAGGACAATGCTTATCTGCTTGGAAAGGTCTTGTCATTTTATTCTCACATCTTAGTTGCTACAAGAAGTACAGGAGTTGCTCACATCTCCTCAAGCTGTTTCCCAGATGCTTGATGATTCATGAGAGGCCAACCTCCAAAGACCAGGTTTGGGTTGACTGTGTTCCCATGCCTATCGAAACCAGTTAACTCTGCAAAATCCCGCTGAAAATCCCCTTAGAAAACTCTAGTGCTTTTGGTTCCAGTCCTGGCTACTACCACTTTAGTGCCTACAGCACTTCAGGTTGCAATTTAGCACGTGAGGAGAGAGGTGAGAGGGAATCAAGCTGTTTCAGAGCTCCTGAAGAGTCTACTCCAGTGTCAGGTGAAGGCTCTGAGTGGCTTTGCATTTCATCCCATGTGAGTTAAGAAACAGTATTTATGGCCATTCTCGTCAAACATACTTTCTTCCTTTGTGGAAAACGCATATCTTCATACTGTAATATTTTTATATCCCACATTTTACTATATTGAGCGTTGTCTTCCCATGCTTCTCTCCAGCCTTTCCTCTGTAATGACTTTATAATCACTGCATTTACCATAATAGAAATAACAAGTCATTGTGCTTTGATTTTTAAGCTTTTTAACGTGCAGCTTTATTTCTCCATTTACCTGTTCAACCTGGATACTGCAGAGCTGCACCAGCCGTTACATTTCGGCACTGATCTTGGTCAGCTGTGATTGACTTGCTGGCAGAGCACCCCAGTCTGTGGGTTTCAGAGTTTAAGTTAAATGAAAAGCTGTGAAGAGCCTATCTTCTTGGGGTACAAGAACGCTGGTAACATATTTTCTCAGCTGATGTGCTGAGTAAAGTGCACAGATTTTTTGTTTGGGGGTATATATATGAGCACATTTTAAAAATACTGTCCCTAGCACTCTATTCTCAGCAGCTGACGACTCCAGAGTAAAGCCTTTACTAGGACTGGCTGGGAGAAGGGAACCTTTCCCTCAGAAGCATGAACCACATTGAACCACACAGTGAAATGCATGCTGATAGTGGGAAAATGGCAGGAGTTTGCTGTCCAAGAAAGAACAGCAAAGTACTCTCAGGTATAGGATGAGTTCCACCATGTTTTACTGCAGTAACATTTGTTCTGACTTAGGGAATGGTTGTTTCATTCAGAAGTGCAGAATTCATCAAAACTGTTTTATTTTTATCCCTTTTCTTGGACAATTTGGACTATTCACAAATAGTCCTGTGAAATACCTTGTCCTCTCGGTGTACTGGCTGTTTTCAGAGTCCAAAAGTCCTCAGCATTTCGGTAGGAACTCAGTAGTATTGGCTGGACATTTCATTTCCTTCCAGACTAGGGGAAAAAAACCAGAGGTGTCTTTATTTTTTTTCCAGGAAAAAAATTAAAAATAATTAGAATAAAATAAAATAGAAAACAGACTTGAGTGTAGATGTTCCTGATGAAAATTGCAACAAAACTGATAGGTGGGTGGTCTTTATTTTCACTGAATTGTCACTTTCCCAATGCAAATTGGTCAAAACAGACAAAACAAAACAAAACTGGCTGGTTCTGCACTTTGTGAGCTATGGAGTCAGGCTGTCTTTGCTTAGAAAGGGTGGCTCAGGGTGTGGGAACATTTCGTCTTGAATGAAAGCATCTTACAAAGATGTCACAAATAGATCTTTGGAGATGATATTTTTTACAGGAAACCCAGACTTTTATCTTCTAAGTTTCAGGTTGTTTGGAAGCTAGAATTATTACCCTGTCAGAAGGGTACAATGAACTGTTGACACACAACCACGCTTTGCTTATAGCTACGTGCAGGGAGGTATTTACAGCCAGGAACCAGTGAAAAGCCACCTGAAAAATAGATGTACTTACCATTAAGTTTGTACCATTTCTCTGGGTTCCTGTTTTCCCTGAGCTTTTATGAAACAAATATATTTATTTTATATAAAATTCTTAGAAAGCGTCAGTCAAACATTAGATTTTATTTTACGAGAGAAAACTTTGATTATTTTGTGTGACTTTTTGATTATTTTGTGGCTGGTTGCTTACTTTGTTCCAACGTTCATAGAGTGGTGGGAGAAATTTTCCCCCATTTGCTCTTCCTCAGTAGCCAAATTCAGGAGGAGGCACCAGTTTTATATTTCTGTTGCTTGTAGTGGAACTGGAGGTTGACCTGACATTCAGCAGAGTACTGGGGGTGATGTTCAGTTTAAGATTAGGGCACCGGAGTTTAGGTGTTTACATGAAAACCAGTGTCCAAGTTCCCATTACTAAGTAGAAATTTGGTCAATGTGGTTGAGTGACTGACTGGGGACCTGTCCGGGTGTAGCTCCCACCGGCTATGTTGAGAAGGGGCTCAGCTTGCCCACGCGCAGGTGGCTCCGCAAGACCGCACGGCTTCCACAGGACTTCTGCTGGGGGCTGCTGGATGTGCTGCTGGACCTCCCTGTCCTCGTGGAGGCCAGGCAGGAAACGGTACTATGTCTTAAATAGCGTGTTAGAAATCTCTCTGTGAGTAACTGAACTGAGGCCTAGATCCCCACACAGCACATGGGGAACTCAGATAGCTGTCTCACGGGTGGAGGCTCAGATCTGCGTGTCTTAACTGGGATGATCGGCGTGTTGCCTTGGAGCCTTCTGATCCTCGAAATTTCGCCACTAAAGTTGTCAATGCACAGAAAACTAGTTGTTTGCAGTTCTTTGATTCTGGGAGCCAAATTACACTATTGGTAACAGCGGGACAACGCAAGAGCATGGTGCAACTGAGAAGACATTTTGACTTTTAGAGAGTTGGGTCTTGCCACAGTTCCTGTTATCCTTGGAGCCAGGGATTTACAGCAGCTAAGGCTTTACCTCAGTATAAGTAAACTTTAGGAACAATTGAGTATTTGCTCAGGCAGAAGTTGTGGAATTTTAATTAAGTAAAGACTTGGCTATTTGTCTTGAAGTTATTCAGTAAGTCAGCTGGTGGGACAGTTTTTGACTTCAGTTGCATCGGTGTAAGCGTGGAGTACTATTTGTGTTAATGATGCATTGACAGCAAATGATTCACACCATATAAATAAAATCAAAACGTGACCTAACACATGCTTCTGGGAGGAAATACTTAAGCACAATAAACAAACTTAGACTCACTCGCACGCACTTTCCTGAAGCCTTTTATTACTGCTTTTGTTCAGAGGGCATCTCTCCCCAGAGCACCAAATTTGGGAAGCACGGCTCTTTACCCTTTTGCTTCACTCTGCCTCGCTTCATTGTTCCCAAGCTTGTGGTTTTTATTAAAGTTTAAATTCTGCTTTAAAACGAAAATGGTGAGAAGGAAATTATATAATCGATATCAATGTAAAAGTAACGATATGTTTATCATAAAATAGTCTATATAGTTGAGTACTGTTGTTCTTATTATTTATAAGGGGTTGAATTAAGAGAAAATACACTGTACTTCCTATTTAATAACTGCTTCTAGACCCAACTTTTTGTAGACTTTAAATGCAAATAATTTGTGCTGTGTTATAAACTGTTGTGTTTTTTGCCTTCCTGTAACTGGAACAACATACTAATTTCTACAAGTTGTGACTACTAACAGAGAGCAATCACCTCACAGACTTGTACCGAAAAGAAGAGACCATCAGCGTGGCAGGGAACGGCTGCATCCACAGTCCTCGCTTCCCCAGCAGCTACCCCAGGAACCTCCTGCTGACGTGGCGGCTCCACTCCCCGGAGAGCACCAGGATCCAGCTGGCTTTTGATAATCAGTTTGGACTGGAGGAGCCTGAAAATGATATCTGCAGGTGAGTGGCGAGTGGAAGTTTGCAAAGGGCTCCTTAATACCACCTTTGAGCTTAAGGGTGTGGCCACTGGCATGAGACTGCAAACCAAAACCTGGGTGTCTCTGGCCAGGTCTTGGATGGCCCTGCTTGGAGGACAGACCTCCAAGGGTCCCTTCCAACCCAAATTGGTCTTTGAGTTTATAAATAAAGTGGGGTGTCTCGACTTGAAGCAGTTTTGGCAAGTTTTAGTCCTTCTATAATATTTTAAGCACAAGGCACTTGCACACTCAAATCCAGCTACCTAACAACTCAGGCACTACTTTCATAGGATTTTGTCCTCTATCCCCTCTGTCATGTTTCAGCCAGGCAAAACCCATCTTTTTAAGTAGGTGGAAGGCTCTGGGAGGTGTGAGTGAGTAGGTTTGTGTTTATATTGGGGTGTGAGGGACAGATAAAAGCGCATTGAAAAATATAACCGTGTTCTTCAAATTATTTGTTTGTCTTTATTGTCACTCTTCACTGGTACAGTTTCTTTTAAAACCTTTAAATATAGGTCCACAAACATCAGTATACTCTGCATATTGAAATATCTAATAAAGTATACTCTGCTATATCCCGGTTGCTTTGGTTTCCCCTTTTAAGCAGAAGTGACCATAAGCTCAGCTGATCTGGCTGGTTAACCCAGGTGGATAAACTGCTTTGCATTAGCAGAGCACAGAGGTGCATCTTGCCAACAGTCACTAAAACAGTATAAATCCATGGATTTTTTTGTTTATATTTCTTTTATTCAGCTATCTGTTCTGCGGGAGAGAGCAGGCTCAGGTTTCCCATGCGCTCCGAAAGGCAGATTGCTGTGATGCTACTTACATAAAATGCTCAAGTCTCAGCTTCCAGCTCCCTGCCTGATCATGTCGTTACTTATGCCTTATCTATGCAGAGAACTGGGTTGTTCGGATTTCTGCACACCCAGCCTCTGCCTATCTTATCTTCTTTGTCAATTAATTTGCATTTATAGGGTTTGGCAGCTCTGCGGGGGTTTTACAGGGTGGATTTTTTTTTTCTTGTTTTGCTTTGTTATTTTTCTATGTTACCAATAGAGAGAACCATTTCTGCAGGTTTGCTTTCCATTTAGTAATAAAAGAATGCAGCCTGAAACTGGCTCTCCTTGCCTGCGCCTTGATGGTCTTGGCAGCTGCTGCTCTGCTCTGGTGCTGTTGGTCCGAGATCAGCAGCAGAGTCAGTAATGACAGTTACCTCCCAGCACCGCAAACGCTTTCCCAGATTGAGAGCCTAATGCACACAGAAGCAGCCTGTTAATATTTACATAGTGGATAAACTGTGGCTGACCTTAAAGCATTGCAACTTTGAAACAGAGGGCTAATTTACTGTGGAAAAAAAGATGAAGTATTCTCTGTCAAAAGCCATTAAAGGTGGTGGCACGGTGAGGGAAAGTCAAGTTGTTACCGGCATTATGGATTTGGGGACCGTCTTGGAAGACAGTCTGCCTGCTTTTTCCAGAGCAGCTAATTTAGGATGCAGAGAGAAGCAAAGACCTTCCATCATCCATAGTGTCTACAGAGGCTGGAGAAATAAAGCTCTGAAATAAAGCTTTCCCTAGTGTTCCTGGAAGACCTTTATTTGTGCAGTATTACTTCCAGAGTGAGGAATTTCTCGGGCAGACAGCTCATGATGGCTTTAAGCCTGTTAAGTGCTGTGTGCATAGTTAGATTTTTTGCTAATGCTCGCTATGTTTTTCAAAACTAGGTTCCTTTCTGCAACTTTAGTCACTGACAATCCCTGCAGTGCTGCTTTAGAGAGACAGCTAGGCGTGTTTTCATTGAAATGAATGCTGAGAGCTGAGCATGTGCTTGAATGCTGTGCATACTGGATGAGTAATTCAGGGCCTCTGCACCTTACCTTCCTTTTGTACTTGCTTTTGACCTTATGCTTTTTTCCCAGAAACTTCCTAGTGTTTTCTTTCAATTTTTCATTACTGCTAATTATTGTAATTTGCATACTATTAAGACTGAACTGATTGAAATTCATTCAGGCTGAGGAATGAAAAGGTATACTTTAGCAGAGCTGTTTCGGAAGGAGGGGAAATATTCAAGGTTTTACAGAATTTTTTAGAAGTGCTGTTAGCATTTCCGCAGGCACTTGATAAGAGATGATTCTGAAAAGCAATTAAATTACCCAGCCTCTGAGGCTCTTTGGATGCGCAGAAACAACCGAGATTGCACCTACTTCCATGATCGTTGCAGCAAAGTCTCTGCTGTTGAAAGCAGAAATAATCCCTGAAAGCCCATGGATTTGCCCCATTTTTGCCAGCAGTTAGTCTGGCTCCCAGCCTCAAAAAGTAGAGGTCGGTCAGGGCAATTTTCACCAAAGCCTGCAAGGTCATCTTACGCTGAAAACCCTGCAGCCCCTCGCGTTGCAGTAAGGGTTCACTGGCTGTCGTGCTGCCCGGGGGCAGTGGTGGGTGCTCGCACGGGCAGCGGGGAGCTCTGCCCGGGTACCACGTCCATCACCATGAGGGACTGGGAGCAGAGGACGTTGGAGAGAGCCTGAGACAAGTTTACCTCTGTCTGGAACTAAATTTCGTAGTGTTACAAAAAACGTATGTTTCAGCAGAGTTTGGGGAGATTTAAGTGATTCGGTTATGGCGAATCTGTTATTTTCTGTTCTGTGCAATTTGGGGTTGGTGAATATAAAAGCAGCAGTGCTGATATTCTCAAGCCACATAGTACTTGTGTTTTTTTCACATGGGCTCTCAGCAAGAAAAGAAAAGCAGGTCTGTTATTTACGGAGCTATTCAGCTCCCACAACTGGGCAGGGAGGCAGGCGCCTGGCCCGCAGACCCGGGGATCGGGAGCAGCACGTTTCTAGTAAGAATCGGTTAACAATCTTAAACTCCCTCTTTCGAGGGAGCACATGCTTTGATAATAAAAACCTTTCCTGGTGAAGACCTCCAAAGTTTTAAGGCTTAACTGTACTGTGGGGATGGCAGCTCTCCCCATTTCTCGTTGCCTGTGCACAGCCTGCCCCTCTTGTCATCATCTCTCCCTCGCCAGCCGCAATTTGTGGGGCCTAATTCTGCCTCCACAGATACCAAGGGACTGTTTTTCTCATAGACGTAGCGAGATCAGGACTTTATTCTCTGCCTTCCTTATTCTCCAGCTCAAGAAATGAACTCAATAAATGACCCAAGCTGGCAAATACGCAGGCTGCGGCAGTGAGTGCTGTTACTGTGTCCTCTCGTCCCCGGGGTTTAGTGTCTGCTGCTCCTGGCAGAGCCCTCTGTGGGCTGTGGCACAGGTGCCTGGCCAAGGTGTGACCTTGCACAAGGCAAGACGTGCTGTCGCTTTTCCCCTGGTGACAGCACCCAGGCGAAGAGCGGAGGAGTCCCCGCCACGGCACGCAGAGTGCCAGCCCTTTGCTGCTTGAAAGCTTGAAACGAGTCTTTCCAAACCATCTAGCAGGAGCACCATGCCTCCTACAGAGAAGGTCCTAAAAAGCACCTTTCAGCAGCATGCGCTGCCCTGTGTCCCTCCAGCATCTCCCTTTGTTCCTGGCATGGCAGGC